CATGGAAAAACCTATTGGTTCAAGGTAAGTACCTAGGCGATATCTGCATGAAACGTTTCAATCTTCATTATTATCGTGCTTTATCTAAAGAATGGAACATTAATGCAATGGTTGGATGCCTTGTAGAAACACTTGCTTGTTTGTAGACAGGTTAAATATCGGCACAGGCAATTCTTGTCTACTTCTAGAAAGACATCATAATCATGTGCTTAATTCTCACACTCCATCTTTATCTTCCGATTAACTTGCTGTTGACACGAGAGTTAATTGAGTTATAAAACACAAGTATATTAAACCAGATGACTAACCACATGTTCTAATCCTCAAGCTAAAGGGTGACTAGTTTACATTTGAATTTATCTTTTATTTTGTCTAGAAAACTCTTGAAAAGAATCTTCTATTCTATGCAAGAAATTCCACCACTCTAAACTCTCAAAATTTCCAGTTACTTGGTCTCTATTATTGCTTATTTCAAAACACTAATCATAGTTCCCTGTGATTCGACTCCAAACTTAATCGGATTATTACTATAACTTGATCGCCTGCACTTGGGTGTACACATTTCGGATCAAGTCATTAATTTTAGTGCGTGTATGTGATTAAGTTTAAGCATGTGTGTGTATGTGTGGGCTGTTTTATTTTAATTTTCAAAATAGACTTTGTAGGAGTCTAATTAAGGGTATTAAGCATAATTAATGGGCTGTTAAGGAAGGATTTTAAGTGGGTGTTCAACCAGGTGTGAGTAAAGTGTAAAAAATGAACATTTGAGATGCTCGGGATGCTTTTAGTGGACTAGGTTAAAACTGAGATTTGTGGGTGTGCAATGGAGGGTTTAAGGGTTCAATTAAGGGGCTGTTTTGCATGATTAAATGTGTGTGTGAGTTTAAGTGGGGCTATTTTAAAAGGAAAGTGTGATAGAGGTTGAAAATGGGTGCCAGTATTGCTGAAATCCTGATTTATAAACGTTATTATCACATATGTAAATTTCGATCCAATTGACCATAAATTTTGCATGTTGCATTCTTATTTGATGCTTGATGTGGTACTGTAAGTTTTGAATGCAAATGAATATAATATCTGGTGCGAAATGTATGAAATACTAGAAGTGTAATTTTTGGGATTCGAGGTTGAAATGTGTGAAAATGGGGGCCCCAGTCAATGTGTTTGACCTATTTAACCTTAATTGTAATTAATGTGAGTGATTTTGGAGATTTGGGGAGGAAATATGATCCCTAAATCTAATGTGCCAGTATGTGAGTGGACAGTGCGGTAACTAGGGCTACCGGGGCACTTTTGGTTGAATCATCTTGCATGCATTAGTACATGATTAATTATTAAATGTGATAAACATGTTGATATTGTAATTATAAATTTGTTAGATGGAACAGGTAGAACAATCGATGTTGAGACAGATATGGTAACACCGAATCGATCCACTAGTAGGTCCAAAAGCCCGTAGATCTATACACTTGAGGTGAGTATATATCTTTATATGTTTTGAAAATACTATTATAAGATGATAGTAAATGATAGAATTTAATAGCATTTTTTCAGGATTATGTGTTATGTGCTTATGTGATTGAATGATGTTTTGTATTGTATATTGTGTATTATGGAATATGACGCACTATCTGAGACCAAAGCATCGATGTCTGATCACTGGGCGTGCAGTGATGTGCTAGTACTGTGATGTTCCCGGGAGGTTCGGGAGAGTCGGATCCATGTGGAATCGACTACCCGATGAGGGGTGGTATGGATGTGTTGTGACTTTATGAACTTTTTGCAATTGAATTGATACTATTGTTTAATACGTGTATTTATGTAGTATTTATTTACTTCTGTGTATTACTATCATTTATATTTCATATACAATATGTATACTCACTAAGTGCGTGGTTTAGCTTACACCCCTATAGTTTATCTTTTTCATGTACTATCGAGAGAGTTGCAGATCAGTCCATTGTCCAATCAGTTGAGTATTATCTCATGAAGTTGAATTCAATCCGCAGCAGTCCAACATAGTTGGTGTGTTATTACTCAGATTATTATATTTTGTTGGGTTGTATATTATATTGAGTGAGAGAGTATTATAGTAGGTTAATAATGTATAATTGTAAATAGACTCAACAAACATACTTTGTGATGTATGCTATGTGTGTGTGGGATTTTGTATATGTATATGGTTTGGAAAAAGAAATGGTACATGTGTTATATATAGTATAGGTTATGAGTCAAGTATTACCATTATGTTTAATAGCTAAGGTGATAGGCAGTGTTGTTGCAGCTGTGGGATTATTTAGTATTTGATTAATCCAGATTACATATGTAAACAGGTATATTAAAAATCTAGTCGCGTCTCATCCTTGGGAGAATGAGATGGGGTGTGACATGAGTGATGGTCGTAGGCGGCGGTGGTAACAATCGATGGTGGTTAATGATGATAGTGGTGGTGGCGGGGTTGGGGTGGCAATGGTGCTAGGGGTGGCACTGGTGTTGACTGTGATGGGACAATAAGAGGTTTTGTGGTGGTGATGGAGGTAATGTTAGGTGATGGTGGTGGTGCGGGTAGAGTGATAGCGGCAGTGAGGTGTTTTGAAGAGAAGTGATTTTAAAGATGTATAAGTTATTTATTTTTTTGAATTTTTACTTACTTATTTTTATTGATACTTAATTTTTACTTACTTACTTAATTAAGAGGTAAAACTAATTTTGACTTATTTGGAAGTAATTAAAATAAGTTATTCTAAGTACTATTTTTTTAAAAGTATTTATGAGAAGTAATAAGTCCTATAAACACTTTTGAAAAGTCACATTAAATACAATCTTAGGGACCTATTTTCTTTTTTAAATTTAAGGAGTTAATATTAAACATCGTTCTAACTTTAAAATAAAATTAAAAATAATTTAAAGCAAAAAAAGTAAAAATTATTTTTTATGTGTTCAATCTTTATACTTTAGGGATAAAATTGTGTTATTCAAATTTATTTATCAAATCTTTTATCCTAAATAATGTGTTAAAATCCTATACATTGAATGTTTGATAGAATTAGTAAATCCCATTGATCCAACCATTTGAAATACAAAATTTGGTAAGTATAACATTGCTCATACTTTATTATTATTATTTTATATATATATATCAAATTTTTATCAAATCAAATTTACATGTATTTAAATATAAATTAATTTAAAAATTTTAATTAAATTTGGATAAACAAATTAAAATATTAATCCATTAAATACACTCTCGGATTAAAATTTGGTCCATTGAGGTACGTATAGTGGCCGGGAAGACGAGGAGGCTGAGTAGCGGCGACGAGAGACTGACGAGACTTGCGAAGACACAGAAAACTACTTCAAAGACTCGCCTAATCTAGATCACGTCACCATTGACTCTCACATGTCTGTATAAATGGCATTTGCCATTGAGCTTTTCTTATAGCTCCAGATCTTTATTTCTCTCCATACCTTCAGGTGATTTCTTGTCCTTGTATATTCTATATATCCATATAGGGTGACATGCAAATTCTTGGTTTCTATTATGTTTTCTTTTGATTTAGTCCTTGAATTGTCTCTGGTGTGTGTAGAATTTCTCTTTTAAAGATCCTAGATTGTATGTTGTTTAGACCAATGTGAAAAAAGATTAATGCTTTTCAGCTGTCTGTTCCTTTTTTGAAACGATGAATGTTATGTTATTTCATGAGAGTTCTTGTTTTGCACTTCTTTTTCGGTAATCATGGTTCGTGGATTGCTCTGTATTTAACAGAATTTTGTTCAACAACTGAGTATATGAGTGGGTGACTCTGAGCTTTGCTTGGAGAAAAATTCCTATTTTGATCTCTTGGCTCTGTAAATTTTCTTTTCTTGATGAGAATGGGATTATCATAGTTGAGAAGAAAAGGCAATGTGATGATGAGAACCCTCATTCTTTGAACCGTTTTCGTGGGTTATTTTGCTATCATTCGTTTGTCTATAATAGTTTACCATTGAATATTTGATTTTTTACATCCTATTTAATGGTGGAGTTTTCAAATCAATTACTTCCGTTTATGATATCAATTTTTCAATAGAGGGTCAGATTTTTTGCTTGAATTTTCATAAGTCAAGCTTTTTTTTTAATAATTCTCTTTCTTCAAATGTAGGATAATAAATCAGGGGCTAATGTTATATTTGAGGGCATTTCTTATGATCACCTATGCCTCTGGAAGACATTGTGGTTAGTTGTTTTTCCAGATTCTGTGCATGTAGTTAATATGATCCGCGTCTGAATTGATGGTTGTTCTCAATTTTCTAGGTGTAGCCTTTTTCTTATTGCCGAATTGTGTCGGGGATGTGACCTTTGGTCTTTACAAGAGTAGCTCTGTCCTGTCCAAAACAGGTGCCTTTTTCCATTGCTATAATTGTTATGTTTCTGTCCTTATTCTCCATGCTTGGTTAATGTTTAATTCATGATCATTTGGGTTGTATCATCAATTGTACTCTTAGCAGATGTTACGGAAAAATAGGAAAAAAAATTCCATGAGATCAAGTGGGATTCATTTATACTAAGTAGTCATTAGTCAATGACATACACACACATCCATACACATTGGCATGGCTTGTAGGATATGTTTTTGTAAATTTTGATGATACTTGCAAGCTAGATCTGTAAATAGGAGTAATGGAAGCTATAGTCTCCCAGCATATATCTTTGGTCATAGACTGTGAATCCATGCTCTTGCAATTACAGTTGCACTGATTATATAATTCTATACCCGCGCTATTAGAAATTATTGATTTCTTCTCTTCCTTCTGTAATTTTTCAGTTTGATATATGTGAAATCAATATGGCTGGAGCTGGAAAGAAACAAAATATCAAGAAGTTTAGAAACTCCTTGCATATAAAGAATTGTACAAAGAAATCGAACAAAGGGAAGCCCAAATTAAAACGCAAATTTTTTGGACATACTATCGGTTCAAACCTATCAAAGAACAAACCTATTGACCATGTAAGCAAAGGCATGAACAGTAACTCCTCAAGAAGAAATGTAATCAAAAAAGCAAGTCTGCATAAATCCAAGTCCCCCAAGAAGCAGTCTTCTTTGAAATGTCAAAATGAAAAATATCATATAATAGTCTTTGACGCGAATGACAATGGGGATCTCAAACCTGAAAAGTTAAAGAAAAGGGGGAAACGAAAGAGGTCAAAGGATAACGTGGAGCTTGATGAAGCTTCCCGCTTGCAAAGGAGGACAAGGTACCTGCTGATAAAAATGAAGCTGGAGCAGAACCTTATTGATGCTTACTCCATGGAAGGTTGGAAAGGTCAGAGGTATGAAAATTTTTTCATTTGGTTTTTATTTTTACTTGACTGGTACAATATGACATGTCTTGAACAATATATTATAGATAGTGTCTAATGAAATAAATCTTAGGCAGCAATAATTGAGAAACTATAATTGATGGGACTTTGATTTCTATATTTACCATTTTGAAAGAGTCTTAATAATTGAGAAACTATCTAAATTCAAGAATAGAAAAAGCAACTGCATTTCAATTATAATTGTCATCTTTCAAGTAAGAATATGATGCCAAATTACCAATGGGCATACAAATAAACAATTATCAATAAAAAATTAAGAATTATTTACAAGAAAAAGGATTAAAAAGCCATAAACTCTAAGTCTGGTATATACATACACACTTAGATAGTTATAAACTCAAAAAACCTTACCACTGTCAACTATTATGCAATTGCAATCTAATTGCCCAAGAAACACCAATAACAATCAATTTTTGAAGGTCTCGGGTTTCAAAGAATGAAGCCATCATGAAATGGCATAAAAACAAAAACCAATTAAATAGAGAATAGAATTAAATACTAATAGATTTCCCCATCAATCAAGTAGAAACACAATATATCAAAGCCACACCAAATATCAAATTTAACATCCAAATAATAGAAAAATTAATTAGCATAATATGCCCAAAGGTGGTTGGTGGCAGAATGTGGTGGGTGGAGGAGTTAGGGTGTGGGGTGGATGAAGGAAATGAAGCTGTGGTGACAGATTTTGTAGTGGGTTGATAGCAAAGGTGTGTCTGTATGTGAAAAATATGGTGTGTGTGAAGAATCTTTGGGGTATTTGGTCGAACAGCTTATAGGCGCTCATTGATAATGCCCATCTGAGAGAGAGAGAGAGAAAGAGAGAAGGGGGGGGGNTTGTGCTGATGCAGTGGAGCTGTTGTGGTGAGTCTTTTGGTACCGTGTATGTGGCTATGGAGATGTGCCAAGAGAGAGAGAGAGAAGAAGAAGAAGAAGAGGAAGAGAAGCTAGAGAAGGGGGAGGAGAAAAGTGGCATTGAACAGAGGGAGGGAGAGAGACGGAGAGGATAGAGAAGGGGGAGGGGAGGGGAAGGGAGTGGCATCCTGCTTATTAGTGATTGAGTGACGGGTTAGAGATTGTGAGGGAATGGGTGAGAGAGAAGAGCGGGTGATGTGATGGATTTGAGGGAGAAAATATGAAGGGGATAAACTTTCAAACTGCTAGCTGATTTATTATATGGATCTTCAAAATTTTCATAGAATAATGGATATCAGAAATTAGTTTGGTGGTGATATATAAAGCCTCAAAAAGCATATGTTGAACAGGGGATGACTAACATATTATATATGGGGTAGATAGATGCAAGATAGAATATACTACTCAAAGTAATAAAAGGAAAAAATTACCGGGTGAACTTGTTCTCATTTGATTGTCAATTACACTGCTGTAGCAGATGGCTAAACTTCTTTTGATTTGAATAGCGAAAAAGTGACCTACAGACTACTAAACAGAAAGTGTCATCAAATTATTAGGGCTGTAATAACATATAGCTGGTGATGTATGAAGACTCAAAAAGGATGTGTTTAACAGGAGATAATTAAAATTTTATATATCTGATGAACGAATGTCTCAATCTCATGATCCTGGAACGGAAGGGAAGGAAATACTAGCAGGGTAGGCCAGATGTCAAGTATAGTGGACATGGAGACTTTTCGTTTCCTTATAGCTTACAATTTGAACTTTTATTTATTTGTTCTTGATACTAAATATGGGTTCTGCAACGATAAATACTTTGGGGTTCCTTTCTAATTTTTTTCTTTTTGTGTGGATGCCACAAATCAAAACAAGTATAAAAAGACTAAGAGTTAAAGATAATATATGAAGCATAAAATAAATTCTAAAATTAGAGTGTTGTTGAGAGAACTTGTATAGTTTTTCCATCATTATTGTAGTTATATTGGTTTTCCTTATAAAGGCTTTTCTTTGTCAAAATTTTTGCCTGTTCGTACGTAAACTGTTGGCATATATCAACATTCCCTGCTAATTTATTCCACAGCCGTGAAAAAATCAAGCCAGAAAATGAACTGAAAAGAGCCAAGAAGCAGATATTGAAATGTAAACTTGGGATTCGTGATGCCATCCGCCAGCTGGATTTGCTTGGGTCTGTTGGACAGATTGATGACTCTGCAATTGCCCCTGATGGATCTGTATATCATGAACATGTAAGTGTGCAACACTAGTTAGTTCATTCTTGGGTTAATCTATTGAACAAAAGCATCTACTGTTAGGCCGTTACAAAAGGATTAATTGACAGGGTGTCTGGAATTGCAAAAATTGGTTCCAAGTTCCAACTGTTCGGAGGTTGGGTTGTGCAGATTGGCCTTAAATGTTCTGAGAAGCCTGCATGGCACATGACTGACAATTAACTATTTCAAAATAACTCATTTCTGTTTCCTTTCCTATTACACTATTTGATGAGATTTCTGAGTGCCAAATAACAATTTTTTTGTTATTCTATGCTAGCTGAATAAAAAATACAATTGATTTGTGCCTCTTAAGGACTCTCACTACCACAATGGTTTGTTTTTATTTCACAGTCTGGACTTATCCATTTATGATTTTTATGTCTTCTGTCCAGATATTCTGTGCAAAATGCAAGTTACGTGAAGCTTCCCCTGATAATGATATCATACTTTGTGATGGAACATGCAATTGTGCTTTTCACCAAAAGTGTCTCGATCCTCCATTGTCAACTGAAAATAGTAAGTTCCTCATCCCATTACTTTTCCTGTTGGAGACCCTGTGAGTGGGCGGGGGTGGGTGGGTGAGTTGGGGGTGTCTTATTGTAAGCATGATTTTGTAAGATGGTTGCTTATTGTTCATCTTGAACCTTACTTCTAGTGTAATTCATAATTATCCAGTTCCTCCAGGAGACCAAGGCTGGTTATGCAAATTTTGTGATTGTAAGATAGAAATATTAGAAGCAATGAATGCTCATATTGGGACACACTTCTCGTCAGATAGCAATTGGCAGGTTTATCACATTAGCAACTCATTATCCTCCCTCTTTACATGGTTTTGCTGATTCATTTCTTTTTAAAAAAGGCTTATTTCTATGTAATCAAACAGGATATCTTCAAGGAAGAAGCTGCTTTACCTGATGGTGGGGATACTTTGTTGTCTCCAGTGCAAGAATGGCCGTCTGATGATTCTGCAGATGATGACTACGATCCTGAAAATTTTGAGAATAGCTCCAGTTACAACAGAGTTGACTCTGAAGATGATGCTTCTGATGATGCAGGCAGCTCAAGTGGTATCTGGTCACTCAAGGGTGAAGTATTTTCTGGCTCTGAAAGGTTAGACAAGAGGAGCAAGGGCCCCAAAAATCCCTCAGCTGAGTTAATTGGTGGAGCAGATTCTGATGAGACCACGGCTTGTGAAATATTATGTGGCCGAAGGCAACGACTAGCAGTTGACTATAAGAAATTATATGACGTGAGTACTGTAGAGGTTGCGGCCTTAAGATTCAAAACTCAAAATTAATCATAGGTCATTATGAGAGTGCTTTATTGCTACTTTCCTCTGGTATTTGATCCTACTAATAATGAATGGCATCAAACTCATACACCATAACTATTATTTTTGTCAGGGCAAATAATGGAAGGTGAAATCATATTTGAACTTCTTATAGACCCTTTGGTTTAACAATTAATTAGATAGCAGTTTTCTTTCTTCTTAGTATAATTAATGATATGTGGCTAGCTACATTGTAATCCTACAATGCACTTGTATACTGAGTTGGAAATAAATTATTTTGTGGTATAAGCACTAAAAAGTTCATTCTTTTTTATTATTTTTTTTGTGCTTTTTAGTTTTGGAACTATTTCTTTTGAGAGGAAATTCATATTTTTACTTCATAATCTCATATGATTTGTTTATTCTTTTCACAGGAAATGTTTGGAAAGGATGCTCCTGCCAATGAACAAATTAGTGAAGATGAAGATTGGGGTCCTACTAAAAGAAAGCGGAGAGAAAAGGAGTCTGATGCGGCAAGCACCCTTATGACTCTCTGTGAAAATGACGAAAAATGCCATGTGAAAAACAGAGAATCAGAAAAGATACCTTCAAGCAAAGAAACCAAAAGGCCGTGTTTCAGAATTCCCCCAAGTGCTGTTGAGGTAGTTTGGAGAAGAACCTCTTTTGAGATTGTTATATTAAAAAGTTCTTAGTTAATTTCTGTGCTTACTCTTTGGTATCTTGTGTAATTTACAGAAGCTTCGTCTTGCATTTGCTGATAATGAACTTCCCTCTAGAGCTGTCAAGGAGAACCTTTCCAAACAATTAGGTCTTGAATCTGGGAAGGTAATACAATCAAACTGAAAAAGGGTAGAAAAATACAGGAAAAAAAGAAGGGAAGGAGAAAAGACATCGACAATAACATTAAAGCTTGTACTTCCTTCAAATTAGCAACATAAGATTGTTGTCGAGGAAACAGACTTTTATTTTTGGACATGTGCAAAAGTTGTTCTTACCAAAAAAGGCTTGCCCCATGCTGTTTCAGTAATAGCCTTTGTTTCACTCTGTAGCACACCAACGTTAGCTTCAGAAAAATGATAATGGAGCATTGGTAGAATTGATTTGATGGAAGATAGGGCTATGTATGAGGCATTCAGGTTTGTTGGGACATGGGATCCAGCTTCTGGTAGTGCACTGGAGGATGAACAAGGAAAAAAGTGCAGATCCACAATGGATGTCACCAAAATTATTATTTCATAGTTTATTGCAGACATATCTCCTGTACCTGCTTATATTATGCTTGCATTTCCTTTTTTTCAGGTTAGCAAATGGTTCAAGAATGCGCGCTACCTAGCACTCAGAGCCAGAAAGGTAACGTGGTGGTCGACAGATTTTCCGAAGTGCATATTTTTGGATTCGTTACTAGAATTGTGGTTCAGCCAAATAAACAGATAAGAAAAACAGATGATAGGCTAGCAGGGAATCCAGGAAAAGCAGGTTAAATCACCAAAAATCAAGCAGCAAAAGCATAAAAACAATGAAAGATTACCTAAACATAATAAATTAATCACAAACTAATATTTGGTATTATTCTGTCTTTGAATTCCAGTCCTGCACTTGTATGCTTTCAAAATCTTCTGGGCTGCATTAATCTGTCCCAATTGTTTTCCACACTTCTCCTATTTAGCATCTTGGTCTCTCAGTTGGTTTAATGTTTCTGATAAATGTTCATTTAAGATGTAAAAAAGGATGGGATGCATATGAAGTTAATTATGAACAACATTGCACCTATCTAGCACCGAACCAGACGGGCCCCCCGGACCGATTGCCCAATTTGGTCCTCATTAATCGAAGGTGTTGAGAGGGTTGATGGGGTACTGGCATACTCTTCGGTACTATTTGCAATTTTGCATGAAGTTAACTGTCCTCTAATTTTACCCACAACTCATGATTGCAAGCTACTTGGCCTATATTATTTACAAACTATCGCTGCTTTATTTTTTCTGGTGTTATGGAATTCTGAAATGCAACATATGGATTAAAACTTAGTTACTTATGAGTTCTTTACATCTAGGTAGCTTATATTACAGCAGCATCTATCTACTTGAATGTTCCGGGAGGTTCTTCAAAATTAGAGGCAGACGTTCAACTAGTTACTGCTTTTTACTAGGATAGTCTACTCAAACTTGAGTTTTATTGTAATTGTGTCTCTCGGAAATTGGCAGGCAGGGAAAGCAATACCATTTCATACTATTGATTCCAAAATGTTAAAGAATTCCAGGTCAGAAATTGGAAAGGATAAACCTGCTGATCAAAGGGCATTTAACGTTATGCCATTAGCAAATGTGGTTGGGACACATACAAGTTTGAAAAAGTTCCGAAGGAGAAAGAACCCATCATTACTAGCCATCCCTTTGAAGAGAAAGCAATACAAGAAAGTTTTATTCCAGTCCTCAGCCAATAACAAGGTATTATTTAATTCTGGTTTTGATTTGTTCTTAATTTTGTTCAGACCACCCAATGACCAACAGGATTGAGTTTGTTAAATTGTTTGTGCAGCCAAGTGCGACTCCTGTTCAGCTATATATATTGTCTGCTGCCTAACCTTTAGGTAGCCTATACTAGAAGTCAGTAATGAGTTTGGATTATTATTGCTGCTAAGTTTAAATCCTGTTGAGATATATACTATCTGCTGTCTAACCATAAGGTAGGCTCTATAAAAAATCAGTAACGATCTGTCATAATGGACTTGTCTAAGCAATTCTATGAATTTCAAGATCATTCCAATCGTGGGTCAACCCAACTTTAGACAGACTGCTAGTTTGATTTGATTGGGCTTTCCTGTTTGTCGGTGTCAAGATGTCAAAGTTGGACCAGGTTGGATCAAGGTTGAGAGGTTGGTTTCACCAAAATAAAAGGATTTTTGAAATCATTTACTCGAATAAATATGTTTGTAGCAGTAGTTGTCTGCACTCTGCAATATGTTTCCATACTCTTCTTTTCATTTTGGAATTTTTTTATATTCAGGCTGCTGTGGGTTTTGACGATGATGTGACATTGAAACTTATAAGAGAAAAGGCTAAGAGACAGAAAAAGAGGGTAATTAACTTCACGACCAAAGGCGGTGTACAAGAAGCAGAGGCTGAAATGGAGAGGATCTGCAAAATCAAGGGCAAGGTAGAAAAACTCCAGCGGGTTTTACTGGGACTTGCAAATGACAAATCTAATAAAGGAGATGCACCCACATTGACTGAAATTTCCGTTGTGTATGTCCCCGTTGCTGGTGTAAGGGAGAAAAGATGATTTTGAGTAATCTATTTGCTGCATCACCTTATGATTCTGTTTTGCTACAGCCGGACTTTTTATGTTTTCTCTGTCAGTATCTTTTGGTGTACATATATACGGAAGTTGATTTTGTGCAAATACTTAATATTGAAAATGCCTTGCACTTGTCTGAAATTATAATAGAAAATCAATACATGGTATGTAAACCATATTGTAGAAGTTTGGATGGGTGTTCCAATAGCTTTCAAGTTTCAGCAAGCATGCCTATATTTCTGTGGATTTATAACACTTCTAAAATTCTCAAATCTACTATATCTTTTCCCCTTTTTGCAGTTCTTGAATGAAGTTAAAAAAAAAACCTGTAAACTGGGTCAGGTTGATTTGATTCTTGACCAAGGTTATCTACTTGGCTATAAAATAGGTTTGCCATCTATCTGGCTAAATTAAAAAACTCTAGCAGATGAGGTTTCACTTTGCCACGTTTTTCTTCTTAATGAAAATGCATGGAGGATTTTGTATTTTTAGATCAATTATTCACAAGGACACTTGAAATTAATTTTTTTATTGAACATTAATTAAAAAATGTTTAAATGAGCGAATTTGACCAAGGTTTGGTAGGCGCTCAACAAGCTGGAGCCATCAAATATATGTTTATGCAATTACAAAAAATGTGTTTAGCAGTGTGAAATTCATATTGGAGAAAAATTGAATATTTTAGTGTCCAATTTATGGAAGGGTTGAGCTATTTCTACCCTACAAATATTCATTCTCACTCCATTTATATCTTTATTATCAAACTGTTAAACTCACCCAATCTAGACCTACCCTATTAGTAATAAGTCTATCTCAAGCTATACACATCCCTCTAATTTTTAAGTCATTATATATTCTAGGGTCTCTTTTTCTCATCTCATAGACCCTACACAAAAAAACGCGTTTTCAATATGAATTTCTATAGTGAGATACATATTAGTATTTTTTTGGCATATTTTAGATTGCAAGCATGCCAAAGTCCTAGAGGACTTAGTTTTCAAATACTTATGACCTTACCTATTTGAACTGGCATGAGGTTCTAAAATCGTGATTGTTCAGGTGATTAAAACAAAGCGTAAGACTTCTTCTAGATTGTTTTCATTTCCTTGAAGATCAATGACTTAAACAATTTCCTTAGTAGCGAGTCAATGAATTCAAAGTTTGAAATAACTTGGAAAAAATAGAGTAATGTAAGTGACATAAAAGAATTTCTCGATGAACTACTATACTTGACATTAAACAGAAAAGCGATCATTGGAGTGATGATTACAATGTAAAAGAAGTAAAACTAAGCTTAAACAGTGCAGATGAAGGCTCTGGTATATTGTGTGTGGTTGAGAGACCCCTTCTTTGTATCCTAGGCAGGTGGTGACTATTAACCATTAGAGCCATCATTTTCGATCATGAGGGAAGTAATCTATCGTGAATCAAACCATTTGTAACCATTGGCTCATAATGTCACGTATCTTCATTATTCGAGATTCATGAAGACCATTTTTATCTTATCTATCTTATCTCCCTTGAATTTTTGTTGACTTGATCCTGGTTGTTGGACCTTGCTACGTGTCACCTCTAAATCTTTTATTATTTGGGTGTAAACTATAAAACCAGAGAAAAATTAAAATTTTATTAAAAATGACAAAATGGTAATTAGATGTTAAGGTGCGGGTTGAAAACTCGAATTTGTCTATAACTCAAATGATATAACGGACCTCACCGTTAGATTCGTATCGTGAAATCTAGTTACCTAGTCAATTTTCGTTGAATTCTGAAACAGTTAGATTTTTTGTATTTTATGAGGCGATAGGGTGTCGCGCATGTAAAATAAAGGCAATTAGATTTTATTCGTGAAACCCAAAAAATAATAAAGTTAGTTCAATAAAAATGTACGAAACTTAATACGAGATGAAATTTAATTGATTTGGGATAAAATTGGACAAAACGAAGTGAAAGGTGGCGTAATGAGGGCCAAGTGTTTGAGGAGTATAAAAGGGGNATTTAATTGATTTGGGATAAAATTGGACAAAACGAAGTGAAAGGTGGCGTAATGAGGGCCAAGTGTTTGAGGAGTATAAAAGGGGAAGAAAATTAGATTTTCTTCCCCATTGTTTAGCCAAACACTTTCGGAAAAGAGAGAGAGAAGAGAAAAATCTCAAAGTTCTCCAAGCTTCCTCTTTTGATCTACGAAGATCTAACAATTGAATTACTTCGGGCCAAGAATTAAAGTCATTCTATGTGACGAGGCCTATAAAATCATATCAAAGATCGTGACTTTCGCCAAAATCTCAAAGACGAAAGTTTCGGGATAAAGCTTTGGAAGCTTGATTTAGGGTCTTTGGGGCTTCTTCTATGCAAATATACGTTACAAGAGGTAGGGTTCCTTTCCTAACTAGGTTTATTTCCAGCCTAGGATTGAAATATAAAATGGGTAGGGTGTTAGAGATTAATTCTCATGTATAACACATACCTAGGGTTGTTAGAATATGAAAAATGGGTATAAGAATATGTTAACACCAATTCTTGTATGATTTGGGTTTGATGAAATTGTTTGGTTTTGAATTTCATGAAGAATATGATGTTTTGGGCATGCTATGTGTTTACATATTTTTGCCTTTTAATTATTTAATGAAATGCTTATGAATTCAAGTATCTTAGTTTGATTGATATCACATGTAACATGTTTGGGATTGCTTGTGGAAAATGATATGTTCATTATATGCTTAAGATATGATGAGCATATAACATAAATTACAATTATATAAATTGATTGCATGATGATATGAAATATAATCGTACATTACATTTGTATATGCATGGGTAGCATCACATTCGTGGGTATTTGACATGATTGTGGGTATGTGCATATTTTTTTTTATCAAACACTATCCTTGGTAGGTTGATACGTGAGTTTGAAAAAGTTGGATATAGGTTCGACTGAGTCACACTGGTTGCATTGAAAACAAGTGTCGAGGTTAGCAAGAAAGACTAGATTCTCTCTCGGGTGCAAGACTCGACAATTTTGGATATGAATTTCTGTTGGTATTGAGTCTATAAAGTGTGTTGGTGTACATGAAACCATCGGTGGAAACCCATAGATGCCGTATCGATTATGTGACTATTAGTGGAAGTCCATAAATACCTACCCCAAGAAAGACAGTAGGTTTTTTTTTTAAAATAGTCATTGGATGTCTAACATCAATGGCGGGGGTTTAGAATGCCCAGATGCATATGCATGACATGACATGTGTTATGGGAGCCGGTGGAGGGCAAGGGTTTGCATTGCATGTGTGAGTTCCATCTCATGACATGACATTAAAATTGTAGCATTCACTTATGACATGTATGCATTTGAATGGATGCTTGAGGTGGTGAATTGCATGTGACATTTCATATGCATATGGGTTGGAGAGTAGTCTCCTTAGGAAATATCCTATTGAGCGTGACTCATCTTTTATGGGGATACATTTCAGGTATTGGACAAGCTTCAGGGGACGACCCTCATTTGGGCCATGTTGAAGAAAAAGCCAGTTTGTGGCTCTTGAATTACATGTTGTAATCTCTTGCATAATATGTTTTTGGCTTTGTATAAATTTTGTACAAAACTTGTACTTGTTGACAAAGACATGTAATGAGACATTATTCTTTTGTAAAACAAATGAAACCTTACCCACAACATACTCAATAACCCAATTTTCAATCTAAAAACCCTCAAACCAAAAAATCTGGGCTCTAGGTATCGGTACCTCACAGATATCTGGTATCCAGAGAGCTCAGGTACTAGCACCTAGGCTCATAGGTACCAGTATCCCACTGACAGTGGGCTTAGGTACCGNCTGGTATCCAGAGAGCTCAGGTACTAGCACCTAGGCTCATAGGTACCAGTATCCCACTGACAGTGGGCTTAGGTACTGGTACCTAGGCTCACATGTATAGGTACCTCGCTGTTGGGGGCCCAAGTACCGGTACCACGTCTTACAGGTACCGGTACTGGTACCTATCAACCAGAGGGCACAAGTACCGATTCCACTTATCACAGGTACTGGTACCTCTTCCCCAAAACTAAAAATTGAATTGTAACATGGTTGAGCCTTCACTTCTTGGGATCTTTCCCTTGGTTGATGTAAATAGAAAAATAATAAGTCCTAAACTTTGGGGTTTGGACCTTGGAATGATCATATGAATAATATGTGAACATGTTGTGTTGGATACTACTCCAGTGCAAAGGAGACTCTGCTCAGATTTCATTTTGTTACGATCCTGGTGAATGGGATGTAACGACGTGATATCGAGTTATATGATATCTATGGGTAGTCTGTGCGTTAATAGGTGATCAATGGATTGAGAAAGGGCCCTCAGATTTTGGGGCATCCCATAAACATTGCCCCCCCCAAAGACGACTCGATGATGTGTTTCTCCTTTGGAGTGTCGTTGTTGTTCTTTGAATTTGAACCGTTGCAACCTTAATCTATCTACTTTCTTGACATCTTGGGATTGTCCACTATGTTTAATGACCACAACTTAGTTTCTACAAGTAGACTCTCAGCCTTCTTCCATATTTTCAAATCTGTAGGAAGTGGCTATCACGCGATCCGTTTATATCTTTTCATCATTATGATGATTCATTGACTATGCCTATATAAACTCTTCCTTCCAACTTGATTATTGTCATCATTCAACTCTATAACCTTTCTTCTTATTACAATGGTGAACCCTCGCACCACCACTCTTCAAGAAGCACTTGTAGAGGTTCTTTCTCGTAAAATCGACTATCATACCTTTATACCTGAATCCAACACTTCTTCATTGGTAATGGGCCTTGGTCTTGCTTTTTCTGCTTATCCTGTGGCCAACTTTATCATGTATCTCATGAACCTCTTATGTTCAGAGAATGTTTTTAATGGTCCAACTGGAGTTCTAGAACCCCTGTTCGTTCATGGAAGGCTCTTTCTCCATAATAGGTTTCATGAGTTGCACGTGTTAAAGTG